TCTTTATCCATTCCTGGTGAGGCAACATTTGCTGTGTGGGAATGCCTGTGCACCTTCAGTGAATATTTTTTAATGAATAAAAATGTATCAACTTCAGTCTAAATTTCTTCCAGTGACTCAGCTGAAGAGAGAGCATCATAATTTTAAGACAAGAATTCTAAAAAAGAATATGAGATTTTTAAAAAGCTTTCTGTGTTTCTATGGGGTTTCTAATTTGTTTTCCTTTTTTTCCCTTTTAGTTGAGCATGTTAGAGGAAGATTTGTTAGCCTTGAAATCTCCTTCAAAAGAAAATATTGCAAATGTCTTAGAAACTTACCATACAGAGGTAATCTTGTTAATGTACTAACCTCAGGTTTTAATTCATGGGGAAAGGAAAATGATTAAAAAATTCGCAGTTGGTGGATGTAAATTATAGTTTGTGAATGTAAATAAATGTACTGGGGATTTATTTATTATACTTTAAAGCCGGATGGGAGGATCAGTGTTTCACAGCTGTTAGGACAGCCACCTAGTAAGGTGACTTCTTTACGGTGCGGCTGCACAGTTGTCTTCCGTTTCAGTGAACTTCGGTACATTCCGGTGGTCAGCCCTTGCAAGGGCTTTTTACAACACAGTATGACACTTCTGTAATGGATGTTCAATGTGGACACTGTTTCTAGAGTTGCTAAAGTGAAACTATGATATATATCCATTTAATAATAAAGTATATTGTAACGTTTACTTTTAATTCCTTATGTTGTCTGACTTAAATTTTCTTGTAAGAGCCAAGAATCTTTAAAAAAAACATTGCATGACTTGCAGTTAAACATGATGATTGAATACATGCTCTCTCCTAAAACTCCACTGAAATTGTAATAAAGGAATAAAAAAGGCATAAATCTGTAATGACAAATAGAACAGACAAGGAGACAATGTAGACTTGAGATGTCAGTATTCTGGAAGCTTGAAATCAGAAAGGAGGGGCAACTTACTTAGACCTAAGAATGCTGGAATCATCTCCTTCAGTGGGGGAAGCCGGTTAATTCTTGCTGTGGACTTCTCTAAAGTCACCAACCCCCTGGGAAGACTGGGGTGTGGAGTAGGATAGAAAAGAAAAAGATTTCTGGTAAGTTTTTATAAACAGCAGTTAGACGTCCAAAAGTTGTTCTGTACAACCAAGAGCAACTGTCCTCTCACAGTCTGGCAGAAGAGTAGAGGCTTACTCCTTACACCAAATCAAACAGGAAACAGGTCTAGCTGAGGGCAGGGATAGGTGAGATGCTGTATTGAAAAGAGAAGAAACATAGTATTAGGTTATTAAGTAGGAAATGTCCGATTACCTTAAGTACTAAGTTTGACAGTTGATATCTATGACATTTCACTTTGACACTTGTTTTATTTTTATTGCGAAGGAACATCCTTGTTCTTTCAAACACATGGTTTGGCTTGTGATTGTCGAAGTTTTTCTTACAGCAGTTTTTGTTAAACCATGGATAAGTCAATACTTTGTGTTGTTTTCAATTATGCGTTCCATCATGGAACCAGCAGACAGCTCAAAATATTAATGAATTTTTTGGGAAGGATGTGGCTGATGAACGCACGGTATGTCGATGGTTGGAGAAGTTCCATTCTGGTGATTTTAATCTTGAAATGAGGCATGTGGATGGCCTGAGACCAAGGTGGATAATTATGAACTGAAAACTGTAGTGGAAGTGAATCCACCTCAACCTACTGTGAATTAGCAGCAAGGTTTGACGTTACTATTCCAACAATATTGGACCATTTGAAACAAATTGGCAACATAAAGAAGCTGGATAGATGGATTCCACATGAATTAAACGAGCATTCAGAAGAGAAATTGTCTCGAAGTTGAATTTGGCACAATGGTTGGATAAAGATGAAGTGCCAAAACACAGTCCAAAACCAAATATTTATCCAAAAAAGCTAATGGTGTCTGTGTGGTGGTCCAGCATTGGTATTACCCACTACAGCTTTATGAAACCTGGTCATTTGATTACAGTGGATGTCTACTGCAACCAACTGGACAAAATCATGAAGGTGCTTGCGATTAAGCAGCTGACTTTGGTCAACAGAGACAGGCCAATCCTCTTGGGAGACCACATGTTGCAAAAAAGAACACTGCTCAAACTACAGAAGCTGGACTTGGAAACTCTCTGTCATCCACCATATTCATGGGAACTTGCACCAACTGACTGCCAATTCTTCCAGGCATTTGACCACTTCTTGCAGGGAAAAATCTTCAATTCTCAACAAGCTGTGGAAAACGCCTTTCACGATTTCATCACCACTTGCTCTCCAGGCTTCTTCGCTGTTGGTGTAGACAGGCTACCCTTGAAATGGCAAAACCTAGTTTAGGTGCATAGTTGATTAATTGTACTGCTTCTTGTTTGAGATATAATAAACTAAACTTTTGATTCGAAATCAGACATTTCATATTTAATGACCTAAATGAATGGGGAAGACCTCTAGCCCCTTTCCCTAGTTGGCTTGCAGAACTGTTGTATACTACCTCATTCCCAAAGCAATACATTGGAAGAAAAAGGAAAAAAACTCATCAATACAGACATTCATGGACTCCTTAATAACACACCCAGGAACTTGCCTGATCATCTTATAATGCATCATATAATTGACAGTCCTAGAACTGTAATTTATATTACACGCAAAGATTCCAAATTTTAGTACGTCACACAGAATAACACATTTTACTGGGCCAAAACAAAAAGGCACTGGAAGGAAGCAGACAATGCAAGGAGGAGGAGGAAAAACCCACAAAAACACCAAGCTATAATTTTTAAACTTCAGATGAGAGGAAAATATTTTATCTATGAAACAATGACAGATGTTGTAAAGAGAAGAATTCAAAGGATAACAACAGGCTGTCTTCAGAGATATTGTGGGTTCAGTTCCAGACCACCACAGTAAAGCTAGTCACATGAATATTTTGGTTTCCCAGTGCATATAAAAATGTTCACACTATCCTGTAGTCTATTGAGTGTGTGTAGTCTATTAAGTTGTAATCTCTTTGCTAGTGGAGGGTCTTGCCTCGATGTGGACGGATGTTGACTGATCAGGGTGGTGGTTGCTGAAGGTTGGGGGTGGCTGTGGTGATGGCTTAAAATAAGACTGCAATGACGTTTGCCACATCCATTGACTCTTCCTTTCACGAAAGATTTTTCTGGAACACGTGATGCTGTTTGATAGTATTTTCCCTACAGTAGAATTTCTTTCAAAATTGGAGTCAACCCTCTCAAACCCTGTTGCTGCTTTGTCAACTAAGTTAATAGAATATTCTAAATCCTTTGTCATTTCAGCAATGTTCACAGAATCTTAAACAGGAATAGGTTGCATCTCCCCAGAAACCGCTTTCTTTGCTCATCCTTAAGAAGCAATTCCTTACCTGTTCAAGCTTTATCATGAAATTGCAGCAATTCAGTCACATCTTCAGGTTCCACTTCTAGTTACCTTGCAGTTTCTACCACATCTGCACTTACTTCCTCCACTGAAGTCTTGAACCCCTCAATGTCATACATGAGGGTTGGAATCACCGTCTTCCAAACTCCTGTTAGTGTTGATAGGTAGACCGCTGTCTATGAATCACAAATGTTCTTAATGGCATCTAGCATGGCGAATCCTTTCCAGGAGATTTTCACTTTTTTTTTTTTTTTAGAAAATGGGCACGTACTTATATATTTTAAAATCTAGTTTTCTACTCTCATTGCCTAAGGATGCTTTTCTTCTACTTGTTGTAAAGGGGAGAATCCACACATTATAAATGGACACATACACACACATCTATGGATACACACGCACATTAATATATCTATGAACATACATGGACCATTTTGTTCAGAAACTTTCTTAAAAAGCACTCAGCCTGCACACACTCAGGGCACTGTGGTATCACACAGAGTCCTGCAATAGAAGCTAAATGCAGG